TGGGGTTGGTCTCTTTGACCACGTGGATGGTCGTGAGGTCGGTTTCTTTGGCCATGTGGATGGTCATGGGGTTGGTCTCTTTGACCACGTGGATGGTCGTGGTGTTGGTTTCTTTGGCCGCGTGGATGGTCATGGTGTTGGTTTCTTTGGCCACGTAGATGGTCGCGGGGTTGGTTTCTTTGACCACGTGGATGGTCACGGGGTTGGTTTCCTTGACCACGTGGATGGTCGTGGGGTCGGTTTCTCCTTCCGTGCAGCTCCCCAGAGCAGCTCCTGCCTTTCCCGCAGACCCTGGACTTCCATCTGCGGGATGCGGAGGAGCAGCAGATCTTCAGCGAGATCTACCTGGCCGACATGGCGGGGAGCGTCCAACTGAGCTTGAAGGAGAAGAGCGGGACTGGCTCCATGTGGGACGCGGTGCTCCGGAAGGGTTGGTGGCTCCATCCTTCCCTCTCCGGCGTGGGAGACCTCCCAAGGGCTGTAGAACAGCATCGGAGACCTCCCAAGGGCTGTAGAACACCTCAAGCCCGTGGTGGGATCCCATCCCCGTCATCAAGTGTCACCCGAGTGGCGCTGTCACTTGGTGCCATTGGTGGGAGCAGGAGGAACCCAACCGTGTCCTTGCAGGAGACCTGACCCGGAGCGTGGTGGCCGTGAGGACAACGTCCCACAGAGCAGGACGTGGAGCTGCAGGTAGGACCAAGGCCCGGGCAGGGGTCCGGGGACACGGGGACGGGCACCCGCGTCACCCACCGCTGTCCCACGTCCTCCCCAGGGAGCCACTTCGTGGATCGGCACCGCGCGGAGCTCATCCGGCGCGTGGTGGAGGTCGCGGGCGTCCTGGACGTCCTCCTGGAGCAGGAGGTGCTGGACCAGGAGCAGTACGAGCGGATCCTGGCGGAGAGGACATCCCAGGGCAGGATGCGGGAGCTCTACCGGCTCCCTCAGCCTCTCCTTACACGGGAGGTGCTTCATCACCACCGTCATCGTCACCACCGTCATCACCGTCATCGTCACCATCACGGTCATCGTCACCATCATTATTATCATCATCACCATCTTCATCATCACTATCCTCATCACCTTCATCATCGTCATCATCATCATCATCATCATCATCATCGTCATCATCGTCATCACCGTCATCATTGTCATCATTATTATCATCACCACTATCCTCATCGCCGTCCTCACCGTCATCATCACCACCATCATTATCATCATCACTATCTTCATCACCATCATCATCATCATCACCATTATCATCACCACTATCCTCATCACCATCATCATCATCACTATTCTCATCGCCGTCATCACCGTCATCATCACCACCGTCATTATCATCATCACTGTCCTCATCACCATCATCATCATCATCACCATCATCATCACTGTCATCACCATCATCATCATCAGCGTCATCATCGTCATCACCGTCATCATCACCATCGTTATTATCATCACCACCATCATCATCATTATTATTATTATTATTATTATTATCATAATCATTATGATTATCGTCCCCCACCCAACGCAGCTCCTACAGGGACGGCCCCGCTCTGCCCCTTTAACAGCGGCTCCCGCCCAGGGGGCGGGGCTCCGGCGGGCCGCGCCCAATGAGCGGCCGCTGGGCGGGGCCAGCGGATCCCTGCAGTAACGGGCGGGGCTTGCGGCCACTGCGGC